AAAGATGGCCTAATATTCTGAAGATCCCTAAAATAGAAGTTGAAATTTCAATTAGGGTTTCCGTTTGAATTACAAATTGCATTTCAAATATTTGAAAGTTTTTAAAAATAATTTCGAATATCGAAAATCAATTCGGATACCAAATCATTTCGGATATCCGATATTGTATATATATAATTTTTTTTTCAGCATTTTCCTTTTTTTGTTTTTTGGTTTTTTAAATTTTTCGATTAGGCAAGCTTTAGTTATAAATAATCGATCGATATGATCGATCGAAATGATTGATATCGAAATGATATCCGAATTGGTTTTCGAAATTGATTTCAAATACTCGAATATTAATTATGTATTTTCGAATATTTGAATTTTATTTATTTACAAACGATTATTCGAATATTCTATTTTCAAACGGAAACTCTAATTTCAATCATGTGTAAAGATCATCATATTCATAGTCTGAAGATTTTTCAAAAAATTCTGAATCCATAATAATCCCTTTCGGAATTTTGGCTCCTCTCTGTACGTTGTAAAAGTTTACCATCATATGGAGGCTAGTCAATAGAAAAGGAAGAAATCTAAATTTTGATAAAATTTTTTTATTGGTCCACTTGACTGATCACAGTCATGTGCTTAAAATTAGCTTAGGAACTAAAATTAATGAAAATCTTAGATTTCCTCCTTTTTTACTGACGAGCTCCCATATATTGTAGTTTTTTAGCACTATCAACTTGCGGACTACTCGAGGTTGGATTACAACTTGAAGTTTTTATTATACGGTTCATCAATGTTTTATCTGGGTGAAAGTAAAACTTTAAAGAAATTTTGTCACCTTTGTCGAAATGCCAATGTGCAGTTAAAATATTTGAATTTTTCGACATTTTTTAAACGATATCTTTAATAATTAAAGTCCAAAGTGCTAGAAGTTGGAACCGGTTAAATTAAACTTTGGCCAGTACTATAAATTTGGCCAGAGTTAGATAATAATTTGCAATCATAAAAATTTTAATTCTGGCAGGAAATGAATTTCGGCCGGATTTAAATTCATTTATTTTAACCGGTTAAAAAAAAAATCTTTAACCGGTTAACATGTTTTAACCGGTTCCAACCTCTACAAAGTGCTAGTAATCTGAGTTGGAGGTGGGTATTTTATTGCAAATTCGGTCAAATTAGGGTAATTTTTCAACCACCTCTAATTACATCATTAAAGTTCCATTTTACGAGTTCAAGACGTTTGAGTTATTCAAGTCCTGTACTTAGAATTTTTCCAGCTCCGTTTGGAAATACCAACCGAAGATTTAAAATGCATTTCTGGGCGTTGATGAGTTCTTCAAGATAAATGGGCGATTCATTGGCACGCTCAACAGAAGTGTCA